GAAAAGCCGCTTGCCTGCGGCGGGAGGACTGTGGAGATGATATAATGGGATAACATATAATGGCTACGTACCTCATTAAACAACGGGAGCAGGTTATATGCTAAAGGAGAAGAAAGAAGCTGAGCGCGCCGACATTTAGCGGGAGACATCAGCATAGATGAGAGCGGTGAGATCGAGCGGAAATTCGGAATGAACGAGTCATTTTGCAATAGTCGGGTAGCGAAAGTTGGGTGATCTTCGTTCGCGGGCAAGTGGGAGAATGGGACGAATTCGGTGGCGGATCTTCAGACGGACAGTAGCTATTGAGATGGAGAAGGCGAAGGAAGGGAATATCCAAGAAATATGTACCGACTTGATCATTCTCGATATTCATCAGACGCCAGCGCCTTCTCTTCGGTGTTCCAGCGGCGGCCATGATGAACATTAAACATTGAACATCCGGTTTACGGCGCGACGACTCTGCCAGTGGGTTTACGTTGATCGAGACCCTGGCAATTCATGTTACGGAGGGACCACAGTCAGAAACTCCCAGTGCAGTGTCCAAATGCGAGTCGCTCGGAGAAACACGCTGACTACTAGCGTTGCGCTTATAATTATCCCAATCTCCGTGGAGCCAAGGATGGTTGCATCTGGCACCGCCATAAGTCCCTGAAGAAAACTAGTTGCTAAGATGAAAAACCGTCGAACCGCATGGGGAAGATTTCGATTAGATTGGCCGCTGTGAGCTATACTTGCAGACAGAGTCCGAATCGCCAATGGTCTTGTCCTTCCATGAGCCAAACGTGGGCCAAGTGTGACTCGAAATGAGTCAAAAAGCACGCCTTCGATGAGACCGTCGGATACTGAAGCATCACGAAGGCCCCGGAAGTATGGTAGACCTCAGACCTCAGCACGGCGGGGCATTCATGCAGCGGCCGGGGGTAGGTAGGTAGGTAGGTAGGATTACACGACCGATGGAGAAGGAATTGCGCAGCATCGTTGCATGAGGGCAAGACTCCACGTAGCATTGCGGAGTCGCGCAGAAGTGGATTAGATGGATGATTGATTGCCTGGTCATCTTGAATGAGACGGTCGTATCGAAATGAGCTCCACAGAGCTATGGCGAAGTATCGCGAGGACCCTTTGAAAAGATGACGACCGGATGCTGTGGCGGACCTTGTATCCCAGCGTCAGCCGGGGAAAGTCACGTAACATGCATCGGCCGTAGCATTTGGAGCGAATTCTTTTCACGCCGAAGGATTAGATCGGATAGATGAGTCCCTGCTGGCGATGGTCTTGATAGATATACCTTGAAGGAAACGTCATGGTGCGCCGGCTTCGAGCGCGTATGCGAAACGAGCTAGCGTTTGCAGAGACGAACTGGTGACGCTTGCAAGTATCGGACGTGAAGCAGGCAGGCTGCGGATCTCAGCATCTGCGAGGGAATCCATTATCCATCTAGCAGCATTATGGAGTATGTCCGCAAAGGGATACCGATTGGATTGGATAGATGATTGCCTAGCTATCGTGCCCCGCGATGGCCTATGTGCCTTGAACTTGAATGACACGTCCTAGTGCGCCAGCCGCATATGTAGTATCGAAAAACGCCCGCGTCCGCCTTCGGTCGACTGAAGACCCAAAGACGAACTGGTGATGCTATTGCTGGTCCAGTATCCGAATCGGAAGCTTTCGGACCTCAAAACATGGCGGCATGAGAGAATCCAGTGTCCAGTATCCACGTAGTCGATGCTCCCACTTGAATAGTGCCGCCTTCAAGGCGTACGAGCAAGAAGACCCAAGACGAGACCGAGACCCAAGACGAGCTAGGGACGCTTCAAACCTGCTGGTTACAGTATCGAAGCTATCGGACCTCAGAGCTGCAAGAGGCTGCAAGGAATTCGCGAATCCATCTCGCATCGATATCGCTGCGAGGGAATCCAGCATCCACTGCGTAGCACGCGGAATTCATGCAGAAGCATGGGATGGCCCGGGATGGATTGTCGATTTCTATCGTGCGAATAGTCCCATTGACAATGTGCCTTGCAGGTGCTTCAAGTGCTCGAGGGATATTGGTGCTTCAAGTGCCCAAGGGAGATGAACGCAAGTGCCCAAGGGAGATGAAATGCAAGTGCTCAAGGGAGATGAACGAAGGCGCTGGAGCTTTAGCGCCCATAGAACCCTAGTCCAGAAGTCCGCGCACGACCAGTCGGGATAGGAAGTGCTTTAGTGGCAACTTGCAAAGGAGCTCAAAGGCTCATTTGCACCATCGCTCATCTCGACATCCAGAAGCGATAAAAATTTGTTACACGTAAAGACAGGACAAGCAAGCCAACAGGAGTAGTACTGCTAATGTACTCATAAAATAATTACAGTACACTGCTACAGAGAGTAGGCACTCATTTGGTGGGTGTGGGTATTGGTGCCGCCACGACGGCCAGAAAAGGACAGTGGTGATAAAGAGAGTGAGAGTGAGAGTGGTTTGGTGTGGTGGTCTGGTCTGTTCAAAGCTAAAAACGCAATCATCATCATCATCCATTAAGCTATCAACTCTAATCCAATCCGCAGCCCCAATCCGCTCACGGTAAAGCGGAAGGTATTAGGGAAAGCGGAAGGTATTAGGGCGCACGGCACCGCTCAGAGAGCGATGGCGGCAACACCGACGGCGACGAGGAGGGCGCCGGCGACGCTGCCGCGGACGGCGAGGGCGCCGTTGGAGCCGGCGCTGGGGCTGGTAGAGGGCGCGGAGACGCTGGAGCTGGTGGGGATGCTGGATGCGGGTCCGGTGGTTCCGAAGCCGGAGGGGGAGACAGCGGGCTTGGTCCTAGTGCAGCAAGCGGGTCAGTCTGAGTCAGAGCGGGGACAAAGGGGGTGGGGGGAAATGGAAGTTGAGGGGGTTAATCGACGGGCCAGGCACAGCGCCGGAAGGGGGGAAGGAAAGGGGGAAGAGTGGAGAGAAGGGGAGAAGGGAGAAGGGAAGATCGACTAACGAGATAGGGTTCGACGACGCCGATCCAGATCCAGTCACAGAAGCGGACTTGCTCGCGCTCGACGCCGACTTGGAGGCGGAGGACGACGGGAGGGGGACGCCGGTGACGGTCGTCGACTGGGTTGCGGAGACGGCGCCGATGGAGAAGGACGCGCTGGTCGCGAACACGCTGTTGATGTTAGAGATGTCGACGAATTCGATGGTGTAGCCGGAGCTGGGGGAGGAGGGAATTGGAGTTCAGCGGTGCGGAATGTGCGGAAGAGGAGAGTGGATTACTCTGCGGGCACGTTGGGGAGGGCGACCGTGGTGGTCAAAGTCGATGAGTCGACATTGTTCGCCAAGGCAAGGGCGTTGTTCTATAGTAAGTCGCAATGAGAAGAGGACGATTGACGGGGGACTAAGGAGACACACGAAGGACGGGTGGTCGAGCTCGATGGAGAATGTACCGGACCTGCAATACACCAGTTTCCACGTCAGTCGCTGCTTTTTTTCTGTGGGAAATTTGTGGAGAACGTACTGATCGGAGGTGGAGGTGGTCCAGGTGATGGTCAGGGAGCCTTCAGAAACAGCATTTCCCGAGACGGTCGTGATGCTGAGGGCAGATGCAAAGGGGGCCGCGAGGGCGAGGATTGCGCTGGGAAAAATGGGAAAAGGAGACAAGGTAAATGGGTGAGCGAGTTGCGGGCTTGCAGGCTGCTGACCAGAGCTTGAACATGGCAAACATTTTTTCTGTTGTTTTGGGGTAGAAGACGGTGGTAGTCGTGTGGGGGGGCGGGGAGACGGGGCGAGGGAGATGGCAGGAACGAAAGAACCAGTTAAAAGGCACGTGAACTCGGACATCCGAAATGGCATGTGACACCGACAAGACGCAGAAAGACAAATGTGACCTGTCACTCAATGCCACCTTTTCATATTTCACACCACCACCGGAGACCGTTGAACGTGCAACAAGCCTGGACTCGTTTCCCTTCACCTTGTTCCCCTGGTATTTCGACCGCTGCAGAGCTCTTAATCGTCGGACGCGCGAAACCGAAGATATCCGAATCGGGCCGCTGCGTGATGCCCCTGGCCTCGCCTTGTTTCAGCCTCCTTGGCCCCGCTTACATAACTATGACTGCCTGGAGACAGGGGAACGTCAAGGTTACCCGTCTGGTGTGATAGACGTTCTGGTGGCGAATAGCTCGTCAAGTAGGAGAGTCGGGGTCCAAGGCAAAGACGCGAGAGGCTTGCGCGCGTTGGGATAACCTTGGGAACACGGTGTTCAGAGACTGGACCATGCCGTGTATAATATTATCACTATCACTATCACCCGCAATTTTTCTGCCTGATGAACGACAAAAATACCTCCACCTTAAATTAGAATGCCCCTGATATAGAGGTTTGCAGGCTAAATTTAACATGCCGGCACTTCATTATGTGTATACGCTATTACCTTCAGCGAACCTGCTGGAAATTACGCCAACCTGTATAGAAACTTCAACTCCGAAACGAGACGTAGTGAATGGATGTCTATTCTACCTCAGATTCGTGCCCAATAGGATGAAGTTTGGATCTGAATTTAATAGAAAAGCGGACGTGGTGTATGGTACACCGCTGTATTCAATCAGTAGGCTATCTGACCTTTGAGCAGCTAGCCGGGGTTCGACTGCATGGTTGCCATCTCATAACCCTTTTTTAGTCTGTATTGGTTCAAAATTCAAGGTCTGCGAGTTTGGACCTTCAGCGAACAATTAAAGAGGGCGTAGCTCGGCTTTGAAGGGAGCAGGGAGTGTACGTGGTGTACGGCGCACCGCTGCATTGCATTAATTTGGGCAACCGATGTGCATTTGAGCAGCTAGTCGGGGTTCGACTCCCCGCGTCCACATTTGGATATTTCCATTGCCTTTTTTTGTGGTTGGATGAAGGCGTGACGAATTAGTTTGCCTACTAGGATGAATAGAGTTCACGTCCGCCCCAGGCTTGGATTTCTTTAAAAAAATATTTGGTCTGCGCGCACTTATCCTGGACTCAGCTGGCCTTTGAAAGGAGGAAGAAAGCGGACGTGGTGTACGGCGCACCGCTGCATTCACTTCGTATCTACGTTCATTTCAGTTGAGCAGCTAGCCGGGGTTCGACTCCCCGCGTCCGCATCCGCAGATAATGCTCATCCTTTTTGGGGGGTCATGGTTGAATGAAGGAGTGACGAAGTTTATTTTACCTATCAAGATGTTCGACTGCCCTCCCCGGGTTCTGCTGGGTTTTTTTTGGTCTGCCCGCACTTGCTTCCAACGAACAATGCAATTTAAAAGGGTTTAGCTGGGCTCTGAAGGGAGGGAGAAAGCGGACGTGGTGCACGGTGCACCGCTGCATTCAATAACAGTTGATATGCTTCTAGAGTGCCATTTGAGCAGCTAGCCGGGGTTCGACTCCCCGCGTCCGCATGAGGCGATACCTGCATAGCTTTTTTTATTATTCTGCAGTTCAACATGAATGTTCATTTTCTACTAGGATTAATGGGTCGATGTCGGCCCCGGGCTTTGGATCTCTCTGGATTTCTTCAGTGCTCTTTGACCTTCACCCACTTACCTCCAAAGCAATTTAGAAGGACTTAGCTCGGCGTTGAAAGGAGGGGGAAAGCGGATGTGGTGCGCGGTGCACCGCTGCATCGAATGAGCGGTTATATCATAATCTAGATTTGAGCAGCTAGCCGGGGTTCGACTCCCCGCGTCCGCATATGCGGCCGGGCAACCATTTTTTAGGTGTCACTGTTCATTTTACATACCGTTCGACTTCGCATTTCTGGGATGAACTTTGGATCTGAATTTAATAGGAAAGCGGACGTGGTGCACGGCGCACCGCTGCTTTCAATAATCCAGATATCTATAATGGCCATTTGAGCAGCCAGCCGGGGTTCGATTCCCCGCGTCCGCATCTGGGGAATTCACACCTGTCCCTTTTTCTTCTGCGATAGATAATTCGACGTTGAACGTTGAACGTTCAACATGACAATGCTCTTTTTCCCTCTTAGGATTAATGGGTCGGCCCCAGGCTTTGAATTTCCTTTGGTATGCCGCACTTATCCAGCGAGCAGTGAAAATTCAGAAGGTCTTAGCTCGGCGTTGAAAGGAGGGTGAAAGCGGACGTGGTGTACGGCGCACCGCTGCATTCATTCAATATCGTCATTATTGCGTTGAGCAGCTCACCGGGGTTCGACTCCCCGCGTCCGCGTTGTTTAATATCTCGTACCTTTTTTTTGGGTCGACAATGGTTGAATGACTCGGTGCCGACGTTCATTTTACCGGAATGACGTTCGAAGTTCGCTTTCCCGGGTTCCCGTGTTTTTTTTTTTTGTCTGCCCGCATTTGCCTCCAGCGGGCAATGCAATTTAAAAGAGTTTAGCTCGGCTTTGAAGGGAGGGAAAAAGCGGACGTGGTACACGGCGCACCGCTGCATTCAATAATGATGCCAGACTTCTAGTCTGCAATTTGAGCAGCTGACCAGGGTTCGACTCCCCGCGTCCGCGTGCGGATGTTTTCGTACTCCTTTTTTAGAAAACTCGAAGTCTGCAGAATTCAACATGAATGATCGTTTTTCCCATTAGGATTAATGGATCCAGGTCGGCCCCAGGCTTTGGATCTCTCAACCTTTCTTTTTCTTTGGTTTGCGTGCACTTGTCATGACAGCGAACAATTAAAATTCAGAAGGACTCAGCTTATCTTTGAGCAGGGGGAAAGCGGACGTGGTGTATGCTGAACGTGGGGTTCGACTCCCAGCGTCCGCATTAGCGTTGGCCACCCTTTTTTCTTCTGCGATAATTCAACGCTCAACATGAGTGAGTGTCAGTTAGTACCATTTAATTATTATAAGTCCCGCGTTCGCGTTACAGAGTCGGATCGTGTACTTTTTTGTTCTTCAAACTATTTGTGCGCGTTGAAATTTCTAGGGAAACTCTGAGGGAGAGGGAAAGCGGACGTGATGCACGGTGTAGCACTGCATCCATTTGCATCTATTCAACCTCATCGCTGCCCTCGGTTGAGCAGCTAGCAGGGATTCGACTCCCCGCGTCCGCATGGAAATTCAACCTTGACCCTTTGTTCTTCGGCTTTGGGTTTCTCAGGATTTCTACAACTTTCTTTGGTCTGCGTCCGCTGACCACCAGCGAGCCATTCCAATTTAGAAGGCCTTAGCTGGGCTTCGGAAGGAGAAGGAAAGCAGATGTGGTGTGCGGCGCACCGCTGCATTCAATATATATATATCGTCGCCGCGTCAGTTGAGGGGGTTCGATTCCCCGCGTCCGCATGTAGTAGGCGTCAGTTGATCCTTTTTTAATCTGCAGTCAACATGAATGTTCATTTTCCTACTGAGATTAACGGGTCCGCGTCCGCCCCAGGCCTTGGATTTCTTAGAAAAATCTTTGGTCTGCGCACACTTGCCTCCAGCGAGAATTTTAGAAGTGTTTAGTACGGCTTTGATGAGGAAAACTGCTGTCAGTGTATCGTCGCATCCAATCATGAAGCAGATCTCGAGGTTGGGATTAGCTTCCAACCCCTCTTTCGGTCGGCAATAGTGATTGAACATGGCGGGTGTCAATGTTCATTTGCCACTTTCGTGCATGCAAATGGTCAAGCGTAGCTCATTCTCCGTTCTTCCGTGTTCGTCTTCACGAGTTGCGACTGAAATACAACAGGCTGATATTTCCCATATATATATAGAACAAACAGCTACCGGCGCCCACAAAATCCTCACCTATCAAAGGCTTTCCCACTTGGAGACCAAAATCGCATCCGCTCGGGTGGACGTCGGAAGGTCAGTATCAGTACCAGCCTGAGCGCCCTTCAAATGCAAGCCATCAAGCCGCAGATGCAACCGCGCGCTGATGATGGAGGTAAAGCTCCAACACGTCCTGCGGAACCGCGTCAATCATCTCTGACAAGAGGAAACAGCAAATAAACACCCACGCTACGACGGCGAAACACTGGCCCGCCTGAAATACAATTTATCAGACGCGAGGATGCTGAATGCGCGGCGGGGACTTACGTCCCCCACAAGGGAGCTAATTAGGTATGACGTCCGGAGCGCTGCGGAAGAGGTGAGTTTGTGCGCGATCCAGGAAATATCCGGCTGACCGAAGAGCGCCTGTGGCGAGGTCAACATAAAATCTTGCCCTCACATACGAATTTTACTGACCAAGATAAACTTGAGGCCGTCGTGTTGCAGCGACATTATGACCTCGCTATGGGTGCGATGGGGGCGTTCCAGGGCGTTGTACACCGAGATAAATATGACTAGGATGTCAAATAGTGACTGATGTGCGGTTAGACTGATGTGGATGGATGGATGTAGAGAGGCAGGTACTTGCCTGCACGCCGAACACCACAAAGATAATCCGCGGTTTGGAGAGGATGATGCATGTTGTGAAGATTTCGGAGAACTTGAAGAGTGCTGGAGTGGGGTTGGTTCGTTATGACCGAGGCCCAGCGACGAAGACGCACGTTGTAATTGCAGCTCGCCAACGATGCCGATGGCAGTTGTCGCCACGATGCAGATGATGAACGTGGCGATCAAGGCCCTGGCGACGTTCGCGCGTTGGTCCCAGAGAGTGTATATGCGGAGAACGATGATGGCTGAGGACAGACGTGATTAGCCTGGTACGGAACGAACCGAAGGGAAAATTACAGTGAGAGATGGCACCAAAGATCATGGCCGCTGAACCGAAAAGCCACAGAAATCTCCCACATCTTGACATATCGTTAGCGGGCGATTGTCGCTTTATATGAACTCCTTACAGCTGTAGACAGGTCAGATATATTTGCGATCTCTAGACAACTAAACTTTACTCACCTGATCATTCAGGTGAGAATCGGCTCCACTGAAGACTGATCCTAGTCAGCTAGTAATCATATTTGGGTGGGGGTGGCCATAGCGTACCATAAACGGTGTACGCGATGACCGCCTCTGTCAGGTATCGATTTATCCCGAAGGCGACCTTTGACACCACCCGGTTATTCGGATTCATCCAGATAACCTGAGCCTCCGCTTGTATTGTCAGGGAATGGTCGTACACCATCGAGGCGAGACCAACAGCTGAGTTGTTGAAAGGTTTATGAGGAACATTCGTCCAAACATCCAGTATGATGAGGCCTACCAGTGAAATACCGCAGGAACAGCAGGGTGTTCACGATTTCGGACTCGGACACGGAGGCCATGACGGAGACTCTGAAGGAGGAGGGTCCCAGTGGGAGAAGTCAAGGCCTGTACATACCCGCCTCGCACATCTATCAAACGAGGGAGTATTTGGTTTGGTTCCGACCCAACAAAGCTCTGAAAACATACTGTATGCTATAATAGTGTAGAGCTTCTGCGAGATGCAGGCGACCAGTGCTTCCGCCAAGTGATGCAGATCAGCGAAAGATGGGGAATATTAATATCGTCCATTCAATAATAAGCCGATATTGAATTGTACAGAGGCAGTTCCTCAGTACCAAGACGTTCCGTGGGATAGTCAGCCTCCTGGCAGTTTCTATGACGGAATAGAAACCCATCGGGTGCAAACTGCAAGTCTGTCGAGAGTCGAGACGAACTGAGCAATTTCTGCAGCCGAGTCCTGACCTGGCGGCTTGGAGTTGACAGACTCATGGCGACAAAAGAGGAACTCAGAAGAACGGAAGATCCGTCGTGGCATGCCTCATCCCACGAGATTATGTGAATCTACTGGTCGAATCCAACAATCCATGTCGTGTGGATGACAGAAGGACAGATGAAGGGGGTGCGAGCACATGACGAGCGCCACATGCGTGCCAGCCAAGTGCCAGCCCCATTCCATAGTCGACGTGGAATTCTGTGACCTTGACAACCATGCCATACGACACCCGAAGGTGCTGGAGCGATTATCCCGGCTGGAGTGCGCGTTAAAGTATAGCGAGCGTGAATGGCCAGATCAATTCTTTTCTTTGAAGGCGACACTGTCTGGAAGGTCACCGCGTTTTTTTTGAGTGTTAACGAAGAGAGCTCGATCAGTGGCTGTGTTGAACCGATTGGCGCCGACTCCCGAGCGGTTCAACAAGTTGCAGCCTGCTTGCCTGCACCGTGACCTGGTTTTGCCCCCGCATTTGTTCGTTTTTATCTCGTTCCATGGAACAGATTGCCAAGAACTAATCTGGAAAATTAGGACATATGGTGCAGACACGCCGGCTGCTATTGCTTTTATCGCCTCCAGGATTTGAAAGTAAATGTCCAAAGCTTGTCGTCATTCTACTCTACGTATCTGGAATTTTGTGTTGAATTCAAATAGAAAGTGTACTCAAGGAATTAAGTACGTTCGCGTGAGATGGCGTGCTAGCATTTGAGGTAATACTTATCCGTATAACGAGGATATTCCGTTCCGCGGCTGGAAGGCCCACTGTGGCGCGAAATAATCAAGGTCAACTTCCAGGCCACCCGAAATGAAAGATTGAAGCTCGAGCAATATGTCGGTCTCCATTCTACGCTCAAAGCGAGCTTGAAATCGCCGGAGAGGGTAGTCCATGACCATCCGCGCCCTGATAAATGCCAGTGCAGCGGCGTCTGAAATCAGACCGACACAAGATATTGGGCTAAAGCTGATATATGTAAGCGCCGGGCATAGCACATCATGTGGTGGGCAGAATAGGGAAAGAAATGCGTCGTCCGCGCAAAGCGGAATAGCGTAAGGTCTTGACCAATACAGGCGAAGGTCCGTGGTCGTTGGGAAATGCTGAAGAAGCTCGACTAGGTTGGAGAGAGTGAATCTGAATATGTCGAGCTCCATCGTCAGGCCTTGGACTGGCCTGTCCAGAAACCGTATTGGCTCCTCAAAAAACTTCTCTCCGATTTGCAGCCAGCTGAGTTTTGGGAGGACCAGCAGACTCAAGGCTTCAACGAGAGGGTATTCGTCCCCAAGAATGAGGGTCTGC